CTAGCTCTTGTAGACCAGACTGGTCTCAAACTCACAGAGATCCGCCTGCCTCTGCCCCCCAAGTGCTGGGATTAAAGACGTGCGCCACCACCACCCGGCTTTTGTATTATTTTTTGAGACAGGGTCTCACGTAGCCAAGGTTAGTCTTAAACTAATGATCCTCCTACGTCCACATTCACAAGTGCTAAGATCACAGGCATGTACCACCACGCCACCAACACATCATGGGCTGGAGAGATGGCTCAGCAGTTAAGAGCATTGCCTGCTCTTCCAAAGATCCTGAGTTCAGTTCCCAGCAACCACATGGTGGCTCACAACAATCTGTAATGAGGTCTTGTGCCCTCTTCTGGCCTGCAGGCATACACGCAGACAGAATAGTGTATGCATAATAAATAAATAAATATTGAATAAAAAAATAAAAACACATCACACAGCCGGGAAGTGGTGGCACACGCCTTTAATCCCAGTGCTCGGGAGGCAGAGGCAGGGGGATCTTCGTGAGTTTGAGGCCAGCAAGCTAGCTCCAGGACAGGCTCCAAAGATACAGAGAAACCCTGTCTTGAAAAACAAAACAAAACAACAACAACAAAAAAGCCAGGCGGTGGTGGTGCACATCTTTAATCCCAGCACTTGGGAGGCAGAGGCAGGTGGATCTCTCTGAGTTCGAAGCCAGCCTAGTCTACAAGAGCTAGTTCCAGGACAGGCACCAAAGCTACAGAGAAACCCTGTCTCAAAATACAAATAAATAAATAAATAAATAAATCACACATTCCAGCTATCAGCCACCACTAGACTATTAAACTCCTAACTCAACTTCCCACCCTACCTTTGTCTGCCATGTCAGAGCCACACACCACTCACTCAGTATCCATGCTGGCCCCTTTAAGGAGGTAAGACCATCACCGGCCTCTTTTGTTTCCTACCTCCCTGTGTTGCCAAAAATTCAACTCTAGAGTCTGTGTTATGGTCAAAGGGACCATCACGTCACCCCTACTTTCTTCCTACCTGACTTTGTACCACTCTTTGGGTTCCCATACTCTGACCACACTTTCTTTGCTAGTCCTTCAGCAGACCATGGCTGGTCCCATCTCTCGGGGCCTTCGTACCTGCCGCTGTCTCCTGTAGAATTCCCTCTGAGTTTCCAAATGTTTTTCTTCAAGCCTTCATTCAGGAAAGGTTTTTCCCTAAACGATTACCCAACAGGAGAAGGACTCCTTCCCTCATCCTGCTTCAGTACTAATAAATACAGCTGTATGCTGTAAATACAGCGGTATTCCTGTAGATACAGGAATATGCTCTAAGAACACAGCTTTACATTGTGGGGGACCACAGGATGAACTCACAAAAACACACAGCTACACTGCCTCTACCCCTGTAGCCCTACAGAACCACTGTAGTTAAAGGTTCATAACTCCTCAAAAAGTTGTTAGGCAGCATATAGCTGTATTTAGGGATCCCTGGATGCTGTATACAGCTAATAAAACTACAGTTTCTATTCACTGATGTTATATCGGAGCTCCTGACAGTGCTCCACCTAAATTTGTCAAGTTTCTCAACAAATATCTTTTGAATGAATAAAAGAAATTACTGTAGTAACCCAGGCAAACTCAAAAGCACTAAAACACAAAAAGATAATAAATTCGAGCTATGTGCGGGAGTCACCCGCTGCTTTCCTCTGGCAGGTACTTTTCTAGGGAGCTAAGCAAGAAGGGGAGACGGCAATAAAGAGGTGGTTTTAAGTCTCACGTGGTTGTGCTGGAAGTTGCATAGGAATGATGGTGTCTCGGCCTTTCTCGCTGCCTCTGTCCCAGGGGCTTCTGTGCCTTCCTGCGGGGGAGGACTGACTAGACTGATTTATGTTTGCTATGTTGGGTACCTGCTTCAAAACTCTGTTTAGTTCAAGCAAGCAGTTGTCGGGCATTTGTGCCAGCATTGTTATAGGAACGGAAGAGACCTAGTGGGGAAAGACAGATGGACCTAAGTAAATGTGAAGCAGAAGGCAGATTGATCCTTTCCCACAGTGTGGCAAGTACTACACAGAAGGAAGCCTAAGGAAGAAGGGCTTTATCCCAGCAAGGGATGGGCGGGGGGGGGGGGGGGGGGGGGGAAGCAAGGTGGTCTCAGAGGAGATAACACTTGAAGCAAAGGAGATTTAGGAAGGTATTCCAAATGAGAAAAATAAGCCGGGTGGTGGTGGCACACGCCTTTAATCCCAGCACTCGGGAGGCAGAGGCAGGCAGATCTCTGTGAGTTCAAGATCATCCTGGCCTACAAGAGGTAGTTCCAGGACAGGCTCCAAAGCTACAGAGAAAACCATCTCAAAAAACCAAAAAAAGAAAGAAAGAAAGAAAGAAAGAAAGAAAGAAAGAAAGAAAGAAAGAAAATAATATGAACCAAGGCAAAGAGCTGGTAAAGTCAGTTTGGGGGTAGGCAGAGCCATGTATGCCATCAGCCCAGCATGGCCTTGCTAAGCCAGGCACGGTGCTGAGGGTGCAGATGTGACTTTCAAAACCTAATCCAGATGCACGTACATCTAACCAGTGGGACCAGCTGCTGGGGTGGAAGGAGCAGCAGGGAGGGGTATCCCAGTTCAACAACAGCAGGAAGACATTTTTGCTCTGGCAAACTCTGACTCTCAATCCCTCCTAACCCATCTCCAGCTGCCACCCAAAGGGAAACTCCGGAGCCTGTGCAGCCAACACGTGGAGAAGCTGCAGCTCTTCCAGCGCCTCCACCCCATCGTAGTCCAAGCTGCCTTCCCTCCTCTCTACAAGGAGCTCTTCAGCGCTGACTTTGAGCCCCCGAGGGGCTAACCAAAAGACCCCAGGACAGACAACTGTCTGCTTCCTTCAGCTGACGGATGGCCCTGTCTCCCTGGACTCCGTTCCCTCAGCCTCCCCCTTCTTGTGCTCTCTGGGGGGTGGTCTCCCTAGGAGTGAGCAAATGCTAAGCCTGGTTTTCTGCCCCCAGGCTTGCCTGGCAGAAAAACAGTAGCAGATGACCGTGAAAAGGCTTGTTAGGTTTGATTTCCCATAAGTTCCACCCTGGCTTCCGGAAGGTGTGGGGTAGATGGGACATAAAGGCCTGTAGGATGACCAAGTCAAACGAACAGGAGGATAAATCCAGATACCCAGGGTGAAGAGAACTCAATTCTGAGCTTGAAAGCTAACAGAGTCCTTTGAATACCTCATTGTACTTCCCCTTGGACTCCAGCTGGGGGAGATGGATCTAGCTCAGACTGGTGGTGGCAAGCAGCCAGAAAGACGTGTATATAACAAGTATCCAGATCCTTGAGATTTTTCTGCTTTCCTCCTTCTTAGTCCAGTAAAGAAGTCGTTCGCCACCCTGCCCCTTTTCTGGGACCTGGATATGTAAAGAGTAATGATGGGGTAGAAATGAGGGGCCAGGATACCGGGTATGGAGGGAGGCCACAGTCAATGAGAGTCAGTCAATGAGAGTATCATTGACAGAATTAGAATGCGAACCTCTGTGTGCACTTTGAAAGTCGGCTTTGTTAGCACACTCTAACCAGACACACACACACACACACACACACACAGATGGAGCACAGAGCGACTCTGCCTGCAGTGACACACCTTTGTAGACACTTCTCCAATGGTACAATCTCTCCCTCGAGGTCACAGCTCAGAGAGGCTGGGAGGTGAGGGGTCTTAGGTCTACAGGATGTCAGAGCATACTTTCCCAGCTCCGGCTGTCTTCTGTCCCAAGAGCTATCCCTAAGAGAAGCAGAGGATTGGACGCTGATCAGCCAGAGACACCCAAGGACCTGCCGGCACTGGGAGGATGCCCTTGCCCTCAGCCTCTATCCTGCTCTCTCTATGAGGAAAGAGGGCAATGCTGTCCCCTGCTCTGTGCCTGTGGGCCGCTGACTCCAGCATGGGGGAATGACTAGGAACAGGGCAGGGACCTGTTTCTCTTCCATAATCTTGCTCAGAAGTTCTCTCAGCTTTGTAAAGCTGCCTACTCTCCTAGGAGGTGGAAGCAGCAGCAGAGAGGGAGGGAGATTTTTTTTTTTCCTCTCAGGGAAGGGTTTAACTAGATAAGCATAAAACCCTACTTGTGCATTCTTTATAAAATGATTTTAAAGGCTGGAATTTGTATGTGTGTTTGTGTGTGTGTGTGTGCACGCGCGCATGTGTGCACACTTGTGCAAAGGTGCAGGGCACATGAGTTGGGTGGTGGGAGACCTAAATGCTACTACCCAGGATACACGCTTGCTCTGAAGTCTTGTTGCCGTGTCAAGTCAGTAATCCATCTGTTTTATAGGAATTTTAGCCCCCTAGATTCTTCCCCAAACCAAGCAGTCCCTCGGGGAGACTTGGAAACTGATGCTCAGGTACCCAGCGCTGGAGGAATGACAAACTAAGCTGCAGGAAGATATTCTGGACTGAGAACTTCCGACAAACGATACCCACAGGCCCATTTAGATATAGAGATTGCACAGAATTGCCCTGCGTCTAAGAGACTAGAAACTGTGGAAGCGGCGTCCCGGGAGCTCTCTAGCTCCCCAGGAGGAATCAGGATGTCAGAACTCTTTCAAGCTTCCCAGGAAGTCTCAGTGGCAGACCCTGCCCCAGCCCGAGTCCCCTCTTCATTCCCCCCCCCCCTCCCCCGTCACCCCATTCCGTCATCCCGTAGAGGCGCTTGCTGCAGCCCTCCCTGGTCGCTTTATTTATTTATTTTGCACCAACAGGGTTGCTGCAGACTCATTCTCGCCTGGTTTAAAACGAGAGAAGAGGAGAGAGAGACTAGAGAGAGAGACAGAGAGTGAGAGACAGAGAGCGAGAGACAGAAAGAGAGAGAGAGAAGAAATGCTTTCTGGCTCCTTTCTCTCTCTTGGTCTTGGCGGCGCGGCCGCAGTAACAGTAGAGGCGGCGGCAGCAGCCACAGCAGTCCCGCCAGCGGGCTGATGCTGCAGGCTGCTGGGGAGTGGGGAGTCATACGCACAGGGGAGCTGGAGGGGCCAAGGTGCAACTCGGATGGGACAGGCCCCAGCCTCGGAGAGATACAGCGCCCAACTTGGTGCCACCCTCCAGCTTCTCCGGTAAGTGCCCCTGCCCTCTTTGCGGAAGTCTCAGCTGCCCTTTCCCACAGCATTCTCAAAGACAAGGCCAGGCTAACTGTGCCTGTAAAGGAAAGGGAGCTTGCACCCCCCACCCCCGGCCAACCATTCACCCTGCCCCACAGGACTGTGATTGGAAAACTAAAATGTCCCAGGCAACCCTGTTGGGGAGGACTCCAAGGAGACCACCCTTCCTTCTCCCTAGTGTTCCTTCTACCGCTACAAAGGGTTTTCCCCCTACATTCAGTGTGGGTGTTCCTCCTAAGTGACCCCTCTCCATGCAGGTCCCTACGCCTCAGCCAGGTGTACTTTAAAGTGGGTATGTGTCCATATGGGTCTGTAACGGTCACATAGAGACAAGAGACAAGCTCTGTGTCCCTGAGGGAACAATGCCCCAGACTCCAGAGGGAGAGACCGAGTGACCAGAGGCCAGTCCTGCAGCCACAGAGGATAAGAAAGGGAGACTATGGTTCAGTTAGCCACCTTATAAATAGATGATGTTGGCCAGAAGCCCCCAGCCACTGGGCCAGCAGGCTTTGGGGACCAGGAGGAGACGCATGGAGGCAGGAAGGAAGGGAGCTGGCACACATGCTTCACTGCACTTTTGCTGAATGCAGAGCAATGGATGAGCAAGAACTGCAGCAACAGAAATGACAAGCTAGCTGTCAGGTGGACTTCCCAGAACAGGCCCAGGGAGAGGAGAGGCCAGAGATAACTGTGAAAGGGTCGGGCGCAGATTTAGCAGGCGTTGCCCCTTGCCACTCTTTCCCCTCCCCAAATCACCCCACAACAGTTTCCCGCACCCCTCATCCCCTGCTAGCCTCCATACTGAGGACTGAACTTGGCATTGCCCAGTTGCTATGATCCTCTGAAGTGGCTGGAGGAGACTCTCCAGAGTATAGGAAGGAAAGGGAAGCCGCAGCTCCTCCTGTGTTCCATATGGAAGAAAGTAGGACATGCAGCAGAAAGCTGACTCCACAGGACCCAGAGAACCTGAAGCCCCAAAGTCTGGAGGTGCAGGACCTGCAGCCAGGGGAACACAGCAGGTGGCCTGCAGGAATGTCGGCTTGCCTCACTTCTGTCCCTTGGCCATGTCTTCCTAACTCTCATATTCCTCTCTCTGAGGTCCCTGTGCATCAGCAAGGCAAGCAGAAGCACGCAGCATTTAAGATGCCTTTGTCATCATGGTCACCACCTGCCGATACTGCCCAGGCTTCTGGTACCCAGAGACCCACTGTATACAGATGGGTGCTGTGCATTGCTTATATCCAGGTGTCTGCTATGCTAGCCAGTGGTTCCCTTCCTCCCATCCATGGCACCTGGTCATTGCTGTCTCTCCCTCTTTCTCCATGCTTCCTTGGGTCACATTTCTAGTGTCTTGTCAGGCAGCTCAGGCAGAAAGAGGTCTAAGCTCTCCTGCAGAGGCACAGATTCAAAACCCCAGTAAGGGAGGACAGAAGAGAAGCACAAAGCAAAACCTCAGTACCCTTTGGATAGTTTCCACATCCCAATCCCTCTATGAAGGAAGAGGTGCTCTTGTAAGGGATCCCCAATCTCATCGTCCAGTGCTGCTGCACTCTTTTCCGTAGCTAATACACAGCCAGGCTTGTCATCCACACACTTTCTGAGTACACCAGCTTGGCTAGTCCAGAGCTTGGGCCCGGGGCCAGGCTGGAAGAGGGCAGAGACTGGAGCAGAGCTGAAACTTGTATGTATGTCCCTTTGCTTCTGATGACTGTCAAGGTGAGGACTTCTTTCTGGTCTGGATGGGATCTCCCTGAGACTTAGGTAAAGTTGTGTGCACAAAATACAGGAGAACAAGAATGAGACACACACCTTTAATCCCAGTGCTCGGGAGGCAGAGTCTGGGGGATCTCTGTGAATTCAAGGCCAGACTGGTGCACAAATTAAGTTCTGGGACAGCCAGAGCTGTGACACAGAGAAACCCTGTCTCAAAAACAAAACAAACAAGCAAGCCAAAAGGGGTGGGTAGGGATGAGAGGAACAGAACAGAGTTCTGATTGCTGAGAACAGATGTCACAGCAACAGGACCTAAGGTATTCCTGGTCTCATGGATATAAGGGAGATGCAGGGAAAGTTCTTTCCCTACTACTCAGTCCCTTAAGCCTTCCACCACAGAAACCAGCTGGACTAGGGACTCATGCATGGGAAGTTCATGGCTGGTTATCCAGGGCTGCAAGGGAGACATTTCCCCATAGGAAGAACCTTAAGAAGCCCCAGGGAGGCAGTACAGGTTTCCCAGGTTTCCCTGGTTGTGTGACACACTTACTGGCAAGATGGAGTCAACAGGTCACTTTTCCTCCCCTTAAGGAGGCTCAGGAGAATGCAGGGTCATCGTCTTCTGAAGCCACTTTGCAAAAAAGGCCATGTCATCGTCTATTCCAGGCCTCGGGGGATGGACGCAGCCACAGCTCGGAAGCAAGCCTGGCTTCCGTGGCCCCCACTCCTTTTCCTGCTCCTCCTACCTGGAGGCAGCAACAGTAGCTGCCCTACTGTGTGTGACTGCACCTCCCAAACCCGGGCAGTACTCTGTGCCCACAGGCGACTGGACGCTGTCCCTGGAGGGCTTCCACTGGACACAGAGCTCCTGGACTTGAGCAGAAACCGCCTGTGGGGGCTTCAGCGGGGCATGCTCTCCCGACTGGGCCAACTCCAAGAACTGGACCTCAGCTACAACCAGCTCTCTACCCTTGAGCCTGGGGCCTTCCATGGCTTACAAAATCTACTCACCCTGAGGCTCCAGGGCAACCGACTGAGAATTGTGGGTCCTGGGATCTTCTCAGGGCTATCTACTCTGACACTGCTGGACCTCCGCCTCAATCAGATTGTGCTCTTCCTAGATGGAGCCTTTGGTGAGCTGGGCAGCCTCCAGCAACTGGAGGTAGGAGACAATCACCTGGTGTTTGTGGCTCCCGGGGCCTTTGCAGGGCTGGCCAAGCTAAGTACCCTCACCCTGGAACGCTGCAACCTCAGCACAGTGCCTGGCCTAGCCCTTGCCCAGCTCCCAGCACTAGTGACTCTCAGGCTTCGAGAACTGGATATTGAGAGACTGCCAGCGGGGGCGCTTCGAGGGTTAGGGCAGCTAAAGGAGCTGGAGATCCACCACTGGCCATCTCTGGAGGCCCTGGACCCAGGGAGCCTGCTTGGGCTCAATCTGAGCACCCTGGCCATCACCCGCTGCAATCTGAGCTCAGTACCCTTCCAGGCACTGCACCATCTGAGCTTCCTCAGGGTCTTGGATCTGTCTCAGAATCCTATCTCAGCCATCCCAGCCAGAAGGCTCAGCCCCCTGGTCAGGCTCCAGGAGCTCAGGCTGTCAGGGGCCTGCCTCACCTCCATCGCTGCGCATGCCTTCCACGGCCTGACCGCCTTCCACTTGCTGGATGTAGCAGACAACGCTCTTCAGACCCTAGAGGAAACAGCCTTTCCTTCTCCAGACAAACTGGTCACCCTGAGGCTTTCTGGTAACCCCCTAACCTGCGATTGCCGCCTCCTCTGGCTGCTCCGCCTCCGGCGCCGCCTGGACTTTGGCGCGTCCCCCCCTGCTTGTGCTGGCCCCCAACACGTCCAAGGGAAAAGCCTAAGGGAGTTTTCAGACATCCTCCCTCCAGGCCACTTCACTTGCAAACCAGCCCTGATCAGAAAGTCAGGGCCTCGGTGGGTCATTGCAGAGGAGGGGAGCCATGCTGTTTTCTCCTGCTCTGGAGATGGAGATCCAGCCCCCACGGTCTCCTGGATGAGGCCTCAGGGAGCTTGGCTGGGAAGGGCCGGGCGAGTAAGGGTCCTAGAGGATGGTACACTGGAGATTCGCTCCGTGCAGCTGCGGGACAGGGGAGCCTATGTCTGTGTAGTCAGCAATGTTGCTGGGAATGACTCCCTGAGGACCTGGCTGGAAGTTATCCAAGTCGAACCACCAAATGGCACTGTCTCTGACCCCAACATCACCATGCCAGGAATCCCAGGGCCTTTCTTTCTGGACAGCAGGGGTGTGGTTATGGTGCTGGCAGTGGGTTTTCTCCCCTTCCTCACCTCAGTTACCCTCTGCTTCGGTCTGATTGCCCTTTGGAGTAAAGGCAAGGGCCGGGTCAAGCACCACGTGACTTTTGATTTTGTGGCACCTCGGCCTTCTGGGGATAAGAACTCTGGGGGTAACCGGGTCACTGCCAAGTTATTCTGATCTTTTCTTCCATACTGAAAACTCCCCAAGTCCACTTAAGAAGCCAAAGGGAAAGGCAGACTAAAGTCTCTTGAACCATAGCTTCCTGTCAAACAACACAGCCTCCCACACCTGTGGCCTGCATTCCGAGAGCTGCTCTAGCTGAGGACAGCATGGTCACCTTTTCACCTTATGGCCAAGACAGCCCCCATCTGGCACCCCCACACCAGGCAGGAAAGGAACACAAGGCTCCAGTCTGCTCTTCACACACTCACACACTCACACACCAGTTTACACAGTCACACACACACACTTACACACTCACACACTTACAGGACCAGCTGCTAAACACAACCGTGAGATTATCTCAGACGTGGAGCTGGGAAGTACCACAAACGGCTTAGAGTCTGCTCATCATGCAGGCATTTTCCCTTTCTTTTCTGCTCCCCAGTGCCAAATTCAGTCAGCGCCCCTGGGTGCAATGAAGTAGAGTCAAGGATTCAGCAGATGCCTGGGACTGTGGCCTATTTCTGGCATTCTGCCTGCAGGAGCCTTGGCCACCTCCCTGACTGTCAAAAGCCACCACGGTGACATGATCTCTGGGACTTTATTTACTTCTATCTACTTCTTCCCCTCCCAGCTTCCCTCCCTGTTCAGTTAGCGGTCATCTGGCTCCACCTAACCAAGCCTGGCACAAAGGGTGAGGGGGCCCAAAGGCCTGCAGAGGTCAGTCCCCCTTGCTGCTCTCGGTTTGCTACCTTTCCCCTTTCCCCGTCTCTCTAGAGCCAAAGAAGTCAAGATTCCCCCACCTTTGAAGGGATCCCTATGCAGCAATCTCCTGTTTCACATCTTCAGTCTTCCTAGTGTTGCTGATCCCAAGCGTGCCTGGCAAGGGGAAAGCCAGAAGGGAGCTCCTAGGGGACGGCCAACAGACACAGAATGCATCTGGGAGCAAGGACGGGGAGCCCTGTAAGCCACAGTGAGAAGTGGAGGGAAGAGGGTAGCAGCTGCCTGGATGCATCCTTGGCTCCCTCGGCTGGATTTAGTGTGGCCCTGGTGGGAACCTGTCCCTGGATAAATGTGGATAAATGTCACCTCAAAGAGCAAGCGGAGTGAGAGGTAGAATTGCTGACTGCACACAGTGCGCTTCCAACAGAGGACAGAGCCCCAAAGCACAGAGATGCTGGGAGCTCTAGACAGTGACAGCATCAGGAAGGGAGGAGGAGAAAGGAGGCAGGGAGAAGGGGAGGAAAGACTGACAAATGGAGTCATGCAGCCCCAGGGAGCCTTTTTCTCTTGGCTGCAACATCTATCCAATGTCCTTAGTTTCCTTCCTCCTTGCTGAGTCCCTGCCCACCTCACAAAACACCACGTGCTTTCTAGTGGCTGCTGTTGCCCTTGCTAGGAGGAGCCACTTGCTGCAAGATTCCTATCTCAAACTGTCCCTGGCGGGGGAGTGCAGCTGGCGGCCCTGAGCCAGCAAAGCTGGACTGAGAGGACCCAAGCACACAAGCACTTGGGAGCGCCAGAAGTGGCTGTAAGAGTTTAGGTGTTTATAGAGCAAGGCTGGAGAAAAGGACATTCCTGAAACCCCAACCTCCTCCATGCCCTCGCGGTCCAAAGAGTAATTCTGCAACCTCCTTCTCTCTCTCATCTACCAGCAGCTCATCAGGTTGCCACCTGGGAGATGCCTGTGGATTGCTCCCCACTCCCCCTATTCCGAGATTTATCTTTTTTATTTTATGTGGATGTATGAGTGCCTGCATGCATGTATATGCACCATGTGTGTACTCGGTGCCCACAGAAGCCAGAAGAGGACATTAGATCCCTGGAACTGGAGTTACAAATGGTTGTGAGCCAACGTCTGGGTACTGAAAACCAAACCCAGGTCCTCTACAAAAGCAGCAAGTGCTCTTAACCATTGAGCCCTCTCTCCAGTCTCCCTCCCAACTCTCCCCCTCTTCCCCCACCATACACCCTTTTTCAAGACAAAGTCTTACTGGCTGGCCTGGAACTCGATATGTAGACCACATTGACTTTTTTGTTGTTGTTGTTTCATAGGAACACCACCAAAGTTCCTAGGCTGTAAGGACCAACAGAACCGGCAAAGCCCTCTGGGGCCATTTCAGCTCTCCCCCATATAGGTCCCTGAAAGATCGGTCCCTCTAAGTCCTGACTTCCGCCTTTCCTTTGCTGCTCTAGATCCTGTTCAAGGATGAAAATCCTGCAAAACAACACCCTCAGCTTAGAGTCACAGACTTGTCGTGAGACTGTCTGGTGTAAACTATGATGGTAAATGTTTCCCGTTATTCAGGCACCCAAAGCCATCCCAGACCTCACGAGTGCAGGTTCAGGTCTCGGGTCTTGGGAGCCTGTTTGCAGGGGTCAAGCTGAGGTGAGGGCTCAGGCTGCCTTTGCTCCCCACCCCCCACCCCCTCAAAACAAAGATAAAAGGTTTACAGTGTGACAGAAATGCTACAGCAGGTGCTCTGGTCGTCCCTGTCCCCTTCCTCTACCAGTACTCGTCTCTCAGGGTTAGGTGGGGACCTCTAGGTGGGACTAAGAAGGACAACTCAGGCTGGACAATAATGGCAGCCCACAAATCCTGTTCCTTCAAATCGCTTTGTAAAGGAAACCAAGATGGAAGCCTTAGAGTGTTGTGGTAGAGGAGACTGAGACTCTCCGGGGCCACCTGATCAATCTGATGTAAAGACAGGACCACAGCACCAGCGTCCTGGTAGCTATTACTAGTTTCTGGTGGCGATTTGACTGGCGCGGGAGGAAGCTGTAACTCCCGCAGGGGGGTGGGCGGGGGATACTGCTGTTTAGGCTTACACAACACAGCCTTAGTTGAAAGGCCATTTCACATGGGGGGCGGGAGGGGGCGCTGGAGCTCTGGAACCAGGTACCTTGTCTGAGAATCCCGTGCTATCTAAAGTTGGCTTCTTTTTTTTAATTATATTCATGTCACTGTGTGGGCATGTGCAACTGGAGTTACAGATGGTTGTGTGTGGCCCGGAATGGGTGCTGGGAACTGCTCAAGAATAGCAGTATAGACTCTTAACTGATGAGCCAACCCCCATGCCCTAAAGCCCGTTTTCTGCTTTGGCTTACTGAGTAGAAACACCTGTCCAATGAATCCTCCAGGCAGTGCCGGCTTGGGCTCATTGTACCTACAGCCTCCTGAAGCCGGTTTAGAAGCCCTTCAAGGAAAGAGCAGCCTTTTAGGAGCTAGAAAGGAAAGAAATGACAGTCTATCCCACCCAGCACCTGGCAACTTCAGTCCTGACTTGTGCACCTGAGGGAAAGGAGATGACAGACCCAAAAGTCAGTGACTTGGGAGAGTCTGAAGCCATTTCCTGTATTCCTTCTGCTCCCCAAACTCCCTACCAGACAGTCAGACAGAAACCCCTTGAAAAGTAATAACACCTGAATCTTTATTCCCCTGATTAAGGAATCTTCCCAGGGCTGGTGAGACAGCTCAGCAAGTGAAGCCTGATGTGACCTGAGTTCAATCTGCGGAGCCCACAAGGTGGAAGGAGAGAACCGGCTCCCTCCCTCCCACAGGTTGACCCCCGACACACATACCCTAGCACGAGCATGACCACACACACGCAGTTATTAAATAAATTTTAAAATATGTTTTAAAAATACTTCCTTTGTTGTGATTTTGGTTTTTAATCCCTCCTTTGAACGTCTATTTCATTTCTTTTCTTGATCTCCCCTCCCCGGCACTGGAGCTGCAAGAGGAGAGGCCTGTAAAGGAATCATGTGCTCTTGATAGCAATGCTGAGCATCGTTCCTTGGATTTAAATATTCCACCTTTTTAAATTAAAAAATAACTAACTAGATGATTTAGCAGATGACGGAGATTGCCGCCAACCGGAAACCTGATTTGATCCCCTGGGCCCATACGGCGGGAGGGAGAACATTCAAAAGTTCTTCTCTAGGCCGGGTGGTGGTGGCGCACGCCTTTAATCCCAGCACTCGGGAGGCAGAGGCAGGCGGATCTCTGTGAGTTCGAGACCAGCCTGGTCTACAGAGCTAGTTCCAGGACAGGCTCCAAAGCCACAGAGAAACCCTGTCTCGAAAAAACCAAAAAAAAAAAAAAAAAAAAAAAAAAAATTCTTCTCTAATGGCCACACAGTCATTCAAGAAAACACACTTTCTGACCGGCGTGGTCACACCATGGTGTGCACGTACACACAACTTCACTATAAACAAACCACTTAATTATTTAATCATGAAAATGTAAAAGGGAAACTAGAGAGACAGCCTGAAGTGTTTGCTGCACTTGCAGAGAAGCTGAATTCAGACCCTAGGACTCACGTCAGGCGGCTCACAACTGCCTGTAATTCCAGTTCAGGCCTCCACAGCTGCCCAAATTCATATGAGCATACCTACATACACATGAAAATATATAAAATACATTCAAACTGCTATAGTATATATCAGGCATTCAAATATCTAGGACACATGTAGATTCTGCACGATGAGAACTTTAGAATACAGCAATAGGGCAGGAAGATTCTCTATCATAAAGACAGCAATGCTCCTTTGCTCTAAAAGTAGGTAATTCTGCGGGGTGGTGCTGGCGGCACACGACTTTTATCCCCGCTATCGGGAGGCAGAGGCAGGTGGATCTCTGTGAGTTCGAGACCAGCCTGGTCTACAAGAGCTAGTTCCAGGACAGGCTCCAAAACCACAGAGAAACCCTGTCTCGAAAAACCAAAAAAAAAAAAAAAAAAAAAAATCAAACAAACAAAAAAGAAGTGAGAATGATGAATGGAGCCCCCCGTGACTTTCAATTTGTGCCAGTGCAGTCTTATGTTTTACTCCCACCTTTTGAGGCCAGCGGTATATTAACCAGTTGGAAATTAAACATGGGCGAATTTTCAGTACTCACTGGAAAATTCCCTCCCGATACTATCCTATATATTTCTGTGTTTTATTATTTTCGTTCACGTCTTCATATTCTTTACTATATTTCTATTCCCATGCCTCTACTCTGGAGAAAGGTATTTGTGTCGAGGCTGGCCCCTGACAGTGCTCTGAAAGCATTAGGCTCTAAGGTGGGGGTCCCCAGCACCCACAGAAAAAGCAGGATGTAGTAGTGAATCTGGGAAGCTAAGGGACAGCTTGGTCTCTGCACCTTGCTGACCAGCTAGCCTACCCTAAACACCAACTCCAGGTTCCGGGTGAAACAGGTGAAACACTGTCTTTAAAAAAAAAAAAGAAGAAAAGAGAAAGGCGGGAAATGGTCGAGGAAGATGTCTGGATTCTGTGTCTGACCTCTGCCCCACCCACAAAAGTGTGGTGCACCTGCGCATACACATATGCACCCCACACAAATATCACACCTACACACAAATAGCTATAGTACAGCAAAACCATAAACAGTTTGAATTACATAGATTAGGGGCTGGAGAGATTGCTTATCAGTTAGGAGCACTGGCTGTTCTTCCAGGGGACCCTGGTTCAGTTCCCAGCACCCACATGGCAGTTCACAACCACCTGTCACATCAGTTCTGGGGAATCCAAAACCTTCTTCTGGCCTTCATGGGCACCAGGCACACATGGTGCACAGACATGCATGCAGGCAAAACACTCATAATCATAAACATAAAAATGATTTAAATAAAAACAAAAGAGAATAAACTGGAGAAGGGGAAAGTATTTCAAATTTAATGGACAATGAACAAATATTAAGCTTCAATAACGAATAAAATATTAACAAGGCATGCAAACAATTTACAAAAAATACAGTGCATGTAAACATATTACATACAACCCTACTTACAATAAAGAAAATGAAAATACAGTGCATGTAAACATATTACATACAACCCAACTTACAATAAAGAAAATGAAAAATTGCAATGCAATGATAATTTCCAATGTCAGATTGTCTAAACAATTAAGGTGTGTGACCACATACAGCTTAAGTATGCTATCGAATAGGTCCTTTTCATAGATGCCTGATAGGTGCAAGAACTTTTTAACTTCTGTGGAAGGCACTCTGGCAATACTAAGTCAAATCCTTTTCAAAATTTGGAAAAATCTTGACAGAAAAATCTTTGCAAAACTTTGTACATCCAAATGAAATGACAAGGCACACTTCTTTAAGCTGGTATGTCCAGAGAGATGTAGTCCAAAACCAAAAAAAAAAAAAAGAAAGGAAAGAAAGAAAGAAAACTGGTCTACATAGGGAGTTCCAAGTCAGCAAGGACTGTATAGAGATACCTTGTCTTTTTTCATTGTTTTTGGTTTTTATTTTTTTGAGACAGGGTTTCCCAGTAGCTTTGGAGCCTGTCCTGGAACTAGATCTGTAGATCAGGTTGAACTTGAACTCACAGAGATCCACCTGCCTCTGCCTCCCTAGTGCTGGGATTAAAGGCGTGGCCCACCACCGCCTAAAAGATGCCTTGTCTTAAAAATAAAACATAGTAAAAGTACAAAGTGAAGTATGCTTGAAAAAAACGTGTTAAAGTTCTGGCTAAATACATGTTTTACATCCATGTCATATCTTGAGATTTAACTATGAGGCAGAGAGGTATGTTGCTATGAAAAGCTTTCTAAACCAGGCAGTGGTGGCTCATGTCTTTAATCCCAGCACTGGGGAGGCAGAGGCAGATGGATCTCTGTGAGTTCGAGGCCAGCCTGGTCTACAGAGCAAGTTCCAAGAGAGGCTCCAAAGCTACTGAGAAACCCTGTCTCAAAAAACAAAAACAAAAAAAAGACAACCCCCCAAAAAAAATTTACTAATTTATATGTGCAGCATGTTTTCAACATTTATATGTGTTTTAACTATGGCTTGTCTTATAAAAATTTTCCCAAGAAACTGGTTGCATTGGTTACCTCTGAAGAAACATTTTCTCCAATAACTGTTATTTGTGAATCTTCTAGGTGAAAGTATTATTTATCCAAATATATATTTTTTGTATGACTAGAGGTCGAGCACGTCTAAGCCCCAGTTACTCAAGAACCTGAACAAACAGAATTTGAGTACAGCCTGGGCAACATACCAAGCACGGATCTCTAAAATAACAGTGATAACAATAAAGGGGAAACTGACCCAACGACTTATGAATGACCAGACACCATTTTGTATCCACTCAGCTATTGTTTATTGAGTGCTCATCACGCTCCAGGCATGCCAGGTGATAGCGCAAACCATCTTTTGGTGACTCGGAGCAACTAAGCCCTCGCCACAGTGCGAAGGCGGTGGCAGGACCAACCGTTCCTAACGGTACGGGAACTACCCAGGCGGCCTCTGGAATTCAGTTTTCCAAGCAAACCGCTGCCTACCAAAGCCTCCCCTTCTGCGGGGCCGGGGCCGGGACCGGAGCCGGAGCCGGAGTCGGGGCAGGCGGGCCGCGCTCCACCCGCAGCCCCCTTCCCCGGGTGGTCACTTTCTGTCCACATGGAGTGTCCGGGGCTCGGACGCCGTGGTGAAGCATCCGCCCCATGTCACTCCTTTACCGTAGTTGCTTTAACAGATTAGCAGGCCAAGAAGGGGGTGGGGAACGATCCAGGGAGAAATTCTTAACAGATCGGTGCCACCGCACCGCCCATCGCGAGGCGGCTTGCCCCAAGGCCGCAGAGGTGATTCAGCAGGGCCGGGAATAGCCATGAGTGACTCCAGCCCCCGGAGCCGCGGAGCACTGCAGTCCCTCGCGGACTGAGGCCGCGCGATCTCCTCCTCTCGGAGAAGGACCCGGGACTGCAGGATCCTGCAAGTGGCTCGGGAACGCTCAGCAGGTGCACGCTCCATCACCAGCTTCTACTTCCCGCCGCTCCAACTGGCTAGCGAGGCGGGCGGGCTCGGACTTTCCATCCGGGTAATTGGACTGCAGCGCGCAGCGGCGCCCGTCACTCACGGCAGCCCGCGGCAGGATTGGCTACCACGGGGAAGCGCGATTGGTCGGACTCCAAGGCGAGCGTTGATTGGTGCGGGAGCGCCGCGGGTGGGGCAGAAGACTGCTGAAAAGCCGCGCGCTGGGCGACTTCGCCGACGGGAGCGACGAGGCGCCGGCGCGGGTGAGGTGCGAGGCGAAGCGTGCAACGCGCATCTTGGAGAAGCGGTAAAGGCGGGGCCCGGGAGAGGAGTTTGGGTCTTGGGAGAGGCTGGGCGGTGGGCAGCCCGGCATCTGGGGGGCAGAAGTGCCGGTCTGAGCGTCGGGAGGCGTGGGGCACGTGGGGCCGGGTCGCCGTTTGGGGTGGCTGTGCTGAGAGCTACTAACTGCAGGAAGCTCGCCACAGCTGTGCTTGCGCTCCTAGGCTGGCTCCTGGTGAAACGAGGGGCCTTTTGTTAATTTGCCTTTTACCTCCCCAAGTTAGTCCGGCAGCTAGTTGCAGCTGCGGGATGCTTCATTATTTATCTAGTGACAGGGCCTGTGTCAAGATGGCTTGGAACTCGAGCTCCTCCAGCCTTTGCCTCTAGAGAGTTGGAAATACGGGCAAGCGCCACAGCACTCTGCTTTGGATTGTTTTTCTGGTCGTCTTCCTTTCTCTCTTTGCTTTTGTTTCTTCTGTTTGTGTGTTTTTGAGACAGTCTCTTGTGGTCTACCCGGGCTGGCCGAGAACTTGCCCAGTAGCCAACCTTATCCTCCACCTTTCAGGTCCTGGTATTCTGGGGACTGGACACCTGGCTTCCTCACCACCACCTCTCTAGTTAGAGAGGATTTCACATCACCCAGGGTGGCCTTGAACTTGTTGTGGACGGCGGTGGTGGTGCACCCCTTTAATCCCAGCACTCAGGGAGGTAGAAGCAGGTGGATCTCTGAGTTTGAGGCCAGCCTAGCCTGGTCTACAAGAGCTAGTTCCAGGCCGGGCAGTGGTGGTGCACACCTTTAATCGCAGCACTTGGGAGGCAGAGGCAGGCAGATCTCTGTGTTCAAGGCCAGCCTGGCATGTGCTATGAAAATGTGTTTGGGATACTGTGAAAGTTTGTATGAACTTTAATTCCAGCACTCGGGAGGCAGAGGCAAGCGGATCTCTGAGTTCGAGGCCAGCCTGGTCTACAAGAGCAAGTTCCAGGACAGCCAGGGCTACATAGAAACCCTGTTTTTCTTTTTCTTTTTTTTTTAAGGTGTTTGTGTAATTGACCAGCCTGGGCAATTTAGGCCGTTCCAGAAACGGGACACAGGGAAAAAAGGTATAGGTCAGTAGTGAATGCTTCCATGGTTACCCATTCTTAAACTGAGTGTGGGTGGGTGGTATACAGAATCTACCAAGTAACTCTCCCAAATTGACAAGGCGCCTGAATGCCTAAGGCAATAAAAGGTTTTGGTTTTTTCCTCAGACTGTAATCTGGTCACGATTAAATTTATTTAAAACTACTGACTTGGATCAAGTGGTGGTAGCAGCACACATCTTTAATCCAAGGCAGAGGCAGGCAGTTATCTTGTAAGTTTAAGGCAGCCTGATCTACAGAGAGAATTCAAAAAAACACGACTGACTAGGGAAAAAGATTTGGTAAACCTCTGATAGATTCTTTAAGAATTTTACTCTGGGGGCTGGAGAGATGGCTCAGTGGTTAAGAGCACTGACTGCTCCTCCAGAGGACCCGGGTTCAATTCCCAGCACCCACATGGCAGCTCACAGCTGTCTGTAGCTCCAGTTCAAGAGAATCTGACATCGTTATACCAGTGTGCATGAAATAAATGAAGTTAAATAAAGTTTAAAAAAAAAGAATTTTACTCTGTCCTGGTCAGTAAAGCTTACCAGGGCCAGTGGTTATGCAAGCAAGCTTTTGTGGCTGTTTGGTGCTGTAGTTTTTTGGGACCTTTGAGACACAGGCATGGGAACTATACCATTAGGCTACACCCAGACTATATACCAGATGCAATTCTGATCTCTTTGCCAGGATACTGCTCCTGGGTGTGAGGCTTCCACACCAGTGTCTTAAATTTCCTTCTAGGCTTCCAGGGAGAGCATACTTAAAACAAGGTTTACTCCAAAGTAGGTTTTCTGTATGATATGTTTTTAGCTTCACTAGAATAAAACTAATGTTTTTGAGATAAAGATAATCTAATTTTATGTGTGCATACCTGTATGTTCATGGACTTGTGTGTACATGTAGATACTTGTGCATGTGGAAGCTTCAAGTTGACACCAAGTGTCTTCTTCAGTCGCTTTCTATTTTATTTACTGAGAAAAGGTTCCTCACCCGAGCTCCGCAGTTGGGCTAGTCTTGCTATCCAGTTAACCCCACGGATCCAGTGTCTGCCTCTCAAGTGCTAGAAATAAAAATAGCCACAGTGCCTGAGTTTACATGGGTCCTGGGGATCCAGATTCTGGGCCTTGGGCTTATTATACATCAAGCATGTAGCATTGCCCCAATCCAGCATTTTATTATCTGGTGCTACTATATCATAATGTAATAACATTGTATATGTTTTTATCATCTATGTTTTCTACCAGTGTTTATTTTTTAATTGAAGTTGATCAAAATAAAGAATTGTATAACATTGTTACCCTGAAAGTTTAAATAAGGAAAGTTAAGAGAAACTTGTAAAATCACTTAAGACTTTTCATAAGCAAATAATAATTCAAATTCTGAGTGATAGGGTGAACAAACTTTTCAGGTATATGTGTACCTCTATAAAATGAAATGGTTTCTTCCTACTTTACAGGGTTGTGTGAATATTGAATAATCAGTGCATATAAAGTGGCGAGATAGTAGCTTCTTGGCATTTTTTTTTATCTTTGTGTTTCCACTGCCACGGTTGTATCTAGCACATAGAAGTGTTTAATGTGCTTTAACTGCAGGAACAAAGCCAGTAGGTCAGAGGATGCAGGATAACAGACAAGTACTGTGGTAGAGTATCATGACCCACATCAGTCAGCATTAGGAATCCCTGAGGCTTCAGAAGAGATACTACTATAGATGAAACTTGAAAGAATAGAACTTGATAAAGACACAGGTGATGTGTGTCAGAGGAAGATCTTTAAATAGATCCTAGTCCCCTAGCAAATATAAAACAAAAATGAGGCTATGAAAATGGCAGGCAAAAATCAGACACAAAGTATCTTTCATCCTATTAAGGAATTTACATGTAAGCAGCTGAGAGCCTCATTTAAAAATATAAAGAGAAATTGTATTCATTCAACAAAGTACTATTGATCAGATGTTAAGTGTATGCTAAACACTGAAGAAAAAATAATAATTTGTACTCTTGAGGAATTTATATATTTTTTCAAACTACCTTCTTATTTTACGTACCAATCCCAGTTTCTACTCCCTTTCCTCTGGAATTTACGTTTTTGACCTTTATTATTTTGTCTCCCCCCCCCCCCCCCCCCCCGTCCAAGCTGAGGACTGAACCCAGGGCCTTGTGCTTGCTAGGCAAGTGCTCTACGACTGAGCTAAATCCCCAAACCCCAGAATTTACATGAGAGATTAAGTTGGCTTTTAATCATAGTGAAAAACCTGGGATGTTTTGAGAGAAAACATTACAAACAAACATTACTTGAAGTTTTCCAACTTTTTAGGATAAGCTGAGGGATGGCAAATGCAGGGATATTTAAAAGTTTCTGCACCCCCAATTCTCTCTGCCAATGCAGCAATCCAAATCAGACCAAGTCAAACTGAATTAGAAAAAGCCCAGGTTTAATGGATAAAACACTCCTGGATGATTTTCCAGCCCACCACCTAACCAAGAGAGGAAACAGGAAAGACCAGAAAACCACATGTCTGTTTACTGGGGGAGAGGAGGACAGTATAGATACCCTGTGGGAGTGGTCTTGCTGGGCAGTGGTGGTGCACACCTTTAATCCCAGCACTCGGGAGGCAGAGGCAGGCGGATCTCTTGAGTTCAAGGCCAGCCTGGTCTACAAGAGCTAGTTCCAGGCCAGGCTCCAAAACTACAGTGAAACCCTGTCTTGAAACAAAATAAATAAATCAAAATTAAAAACATGTGGAATAAGAATTACAATGAGGGAAATGTTATTTGCTTGACAGAAAAGTGAAGATACAATATCAGAGATTCATAGCAAAGCTAGTAAGGTTTTTTTGGAGACAGTTTTTCTGTGTACTCCTGGAACTTGCTCTGAAGACCAGACTGATTTTGAACTCAGAAATCCTCCTGCCTCTGCCTCCTGAATGCCAGATTTAAAGGCATGTATCAGCTGTCTGGCTGGATAGTGGGTTTTTGTGTTTTGAATACAGTGTTTTCTCACGCCTCTCTGCCAACCAGACAAGTGGTGGCAGAGAACCACTTGTTGATCTGTTTCAGGACGTTAAGTCGGAGTGCAGCAGAAAATGGCCACTGAACAAACTTCATGGACAAGCCTGTCCACTATTCAAAAAATAGCCTTGGGCCTTGGGATCCCAGCAAGTGCAACAGTCGCCTACATCCTATACCGCCGATATAGGGAAAGCAGAGGTGTGTGAACCCGTGTGCACTTGCAATAATATTTTATTGTTAAATTGAAAGCTGTCCTCACCACACCAATACTGTTAGAATACATTTTCTGTGAGAAGGGTTTGAGAATGTCACTTCATTTGTTCTTGGAAAGCTAATTTATGAAGGGACCTTATGTCATTGACTCTTCCCTTTAGCAAACCAACCGTGTGATTTGAAAATATATGTTCATTCTGCTGCTTCTCTCCAGCTGTCGAAAGTAGACACAGCTGGACCTGGAGTACAGATCCCAGAGGAATGTTTCATCTAATGAATGCCTCAGACAACTCTAGCCTTTATTGCTCTACGAGAATCATGTCTTAGAGTAGCATCCCAAAAACTCACAATTTCTAGAATCTGCCTTTCCCATTTTAGCATCTGAAATAGTATCCCACAGAAAATGCCAAGTGGTCCTTGGAGGAGGGCAGGTAGAGTGCTGGGGGTTAAACTTGCCCTTTTGTATACACGACACCCTTATCTCAGCTATAAACCCAGCCCCAGCTCTGGTATTCTGGGATCTTCTCATTTCTATTCAGGTTCTATGTATTGCATGTGGTTGAGATCCACATTTTGTCTCTTGGATTTATGTCTCTTATAGCCTGATTCAGGGGAGGGACAGTTGAGCTTTAGTGTATTTAATTCTGATCTGTCATGGTCTACATAGAAGAGCGATTTACATTTGTTGGAGAAGATGACATCGAGATAGAGATGCGAGTTCCCCAGGAGGCTGTGAAGCTCATCATTGGTCGACAAGGAGCCAATATTAAACAGGTAAGTGTGAGCAGGCATCGATTCTACTGACTCGTTTCCTTCCTCTAACCACATTACACAAAACACCCATGCCACACGTATTTTTAAAAGAAAAACTACAGGAACATTAAACTAACTGCACTGTTTTCCTTCCAAAATTTAGTACTTCTCCTCAGATGGTAGATGATTAAGCTTGAAATAGTATTTGATTGGGGTGGTTCTCAACTTGATAGCATGAATATTTTTATTGAGTAGTTAATGAGCTCCCATTAAATGACAAAGAATTGCTACCTGACTATTCCATCTTTCATCATTGTTTAGCTTAAATGTCCAGAAAGCAAAATCTTTGCTGGGGATGTGAGTATTGGTAAAGTTTACTAGCACTGGGAAGGATCTGGGTTTGCTCCCTAGCAGAAAAAGAATCTTTAGGGGGCTGGAGAGATGGCTCAGTGGTTAAGAGCATTGCCTGCTCTTCCAAAGGTCCTGAGTTCAATTCCCAGCAACCACATGGTGGCTCACAACCATCTGTAAAGAGGTCTGGCACCCTCTTCTGGCCTTCAGGCATACAGACAGAATATTGTATACACAATAAATAAATAAATTATACATAATAAATAAATATTAAAAGAAAAAAAAGAATCTTTAATTGTAAATCCAAACAAAGTCAAAGAACATGGGTTGTAACCACAGAGAAATGATTTTAAATTAGCTACTATGTGGATTACCTTTGTCATTGATTTTCTTGTATGAATATAAGTAAATGAGGGCTATTGGTAATTTCTTGATTTAACTGAGGCATATGACTCTACCTGCTTCCAGGGTTTGATAGAGGTCCTTAGCTAGGACCAAATTGAAGTGTTCTTCCTTCTCTCTGCAGCTGCGGAAGCAGACAGGTGCTCGGATTGATGTGGACACAGAGGATGTAGGTGATGAGCGAGTGCTGCTGATCAGCGGGTTTCCTGTGCAGGTGTGCAAGGCCAAGGCAGCAATCCATCAGATCCTGACAGAGAACACCCCAGTGTCTGAGCAACTCTCAGTGCCCCAGAGATCTGTGGGCAGAATCATAGGTACAACTGGACAGCTTCCTCTTCTTTATTCTCTGCCTGTCTTTCCCACATTCTCGAGGGTTTTCCTGCCTTCCCCTAGGGAAAACACACCTCATTCAGACTTTACTTTTTTTTCTTCAGAACTGCTGTTTTAAAAATAAGGATGCCTTTCAAATAGGTTTCTGTGAACCAGCAAGATGGCTCAGTGGATAAACTGCTGCCAAGCCTGACTACTTGAGTTCCATCCCAGGCCTCACATGGTGGAGGGAAAGAACCAAGCTGCCCTCTGACCTCCACAGGTGCTGTGGCACAGCCGGGTCCACACAGACCGCACATGTACACACACAATAAGTAAAGACTTACTTTTTTTAGAATAAAATTTTTTACAGGGATGCTAGAGATGTCCATAGTGTCCTAGAGCTTTGAAGAAGGCAGTAATCCAGAGATTACCTGTCAAGCTTTTCCCTAGATCGTTCCTTAGTGCTGCTACTAGAGGAGAGAAGTGTCCTGTTTTCAGCTTAGGGTTCTGACACACTCTGGACCATGAGTCTCACAGTGGAAATGTAAAGTACAGCTGCTGTGTAGCTGAAAAGTGGAAATGTCCTGAAGTTAATCCTCCAGATAAGTGGTTCAAATAAAGTTCTATATTCTTTCCTACAGTAGTCACTTCGGTAGCTCCTTATTTACTATCTTACATTCTATTCAAATTAATTACGAGAACTGATTTCTTTTTGTAACATGTAAAAAAAAATAGTGATTTCTCTATAGTGGATATTGGTCAGGACAGCTTTTTCTTCTGTATTAATGTAGGGAGAGGTGGCGAGACTATTCGCTCTATCTGTAAGGCCTCTGGAGCCAAAATCACTTGTGACAAAGAATCGGAGGGAACCTTACTACTTTCAAGACTTATAAAAATCTCAGGAACACAGAAGGAAGTGGCAGCAGCCAAGGCAAGTATACAAGAATGAGGGTGGCCCTTCTGCCCATCCTGTCATTATCTGGCTACGCAGAAATGACCCCTCTTATTCCCACAGCATCTGATACTGGAGAAAGTTTCAGAGGATGAAGAGCTTCGGAAAAGAATTGCCCATTCTGCAGAAACCAGAGTCCCACGAAAGCAGCCGATCAGTGTGCGAAGAGAGGAAGTGGCAGAGCCAGGTGGAGCTGGCGAAGCAGCTTTATGGAAGAATACCGACTCCAGCGTGGAGCCAGCGGCACCCCTGGAGGCTCCTCTCTGCAAAGGAGGTGGTGATATGGCTGTTACTGGACCAAAAGAAGCTTCCTGGGAGAAACCAAATGATGAAAACTTTCAGTATTCTGATGCCCTGAGCAATCCAGAGACGTCCATGTTTGAAAGTATGTAATGAAGAGGAGCCTATTAGATTAACCAACCTAAAATAGAAAAATTCTGTTTTTGTGATTTCCATCTCTGTCATACTGCCTTTTGGCTAATATTTTATTTACTTGGGGTAATACCAAACATTAATAATTTTCCAAGTACAGCTAATGAAGAAAAATAAGATAGAAATATGTTGACAAAAACAGATCTAAGTAATAATTACATTTTTATTATAGTTTCTTTACACATTTTGTGTATGAGTGCGTGCTTGTATGTATGTATTCATGCAGGGATGGGGTGGGGGTATTCACGTGAGTACACGCATACATGTGGTCACCATCCTTACCCCTGTGTTTAGTTCCTAGTACTGACTTCAGTTCTGATGAGTACCGTGAAGTATATGTTTCTGCTTCTGAACACCCCAACCACTTCTGGATCCAAATCATTGACTCCTACAGCCTCCAGTTGGATAAACTTATCAGCGAGATGACCCAGCATTATAACAGTACTCTGGTGAGTTGCTGGAGGGAAGGCTAGGCTGGGGCTTACCTTTCTCAATGTCAGATGTTCCTTTCTTTCCATACTCTTTTAGCTATCACTTGGAAATAACCTCTCCTGACTTTCCATCCCCACGTTTAGCCTGAAGACTTGATTCTGCATGTAGGAGACATTGTAGCAGCACATTTAAATCTAGATGGCTGCTGGTATCGAGCCCAGATTCTTGGTACCTTGGAAAGTGGGAATTTGGACCTCTACTTTGTTGACTTTGGAGATAATGGAGATTCCCCAGTGGAGTCTCTCAGAACTCTCAGGTGAGTACAGAGACCTGTTAGGATCCGAGCTGTTGGCTCATATCTGCCGATTAAAAAAAACTGGGGAGCTAGTGGCAGATATCATCAAGGAGATTTAGAAGGAAATGTGTATACCTGGGATTCTAATTTCATTAAAATTAATCTCTAATTTTAGGAGTGACTTTCTAAGCCTTCCGTTTCAAGCAATAGAGTGCAGTCTAGCACGGATTGCCCCCTCAGGTAAACCAGTTATACCACCTATTGACTTTACCTCCAAACAGTAACTTTCATACAACATGTAAGGAATTGCCCATTCCCAAGCTTTCTGAGTTTTAGAGACTCAGGTACCTTTTCCTTATTAGCACTAGAAAGCAAGACAGAAACTTACTTGGCAATCAGATCCAGACACACCAAATAAGAATATGAATAGTACATTCCTAGCATACATACTGGGGTAGAATGTATCCCACCTCTTACAGCTCCGAGGCTCACACCCTTGTTTTCCCTTATGATCTTCCAGGTGAGCAGTGGGAAGAGGCAGCGCTAGATGAGTTTGAAAGACTCACTCACTGTGCTGGCTGGAAGCCTCTTGTGGCCAAGCTCTCCAGCGATGCCCAGACTGGAATATCAACTTGGCCACAAATCTATTTATATGATACCAGCAATGGGAAGGTAAGGGTGAGGTTCATACATTGCTTGCAGTCACTCTGAAAGATCTGGCTGACCATCTCACCCCATTGCAAATTTGCTCTCCCTTAACAGAACATTATTGCTTTCTTGTTTTTCTTTTTTAGAAACTTGATATTGGGCTAGAATTAGTTCGTAAAGGATATGCAATAGAACTTCCTGAAGACAAAGAAGAAAACAGAACTGCCCCAGATATGTTGAAGGACATGGTGAGTCACTATAGTCATTTAAGGTGCTTCCAGGAAATTTGAGTGCTTAGAGGCACAATGAAGGCATCTAGTCATAAACACTTCTATCAATTTTATTAAGATTTTAATGATTTTTTTCATATGTGTGTTTTGCCTACATGTTTTATCTTTATACCATATGCATGTAGTACCTGATGAGGAAGCCAGAAGAGAGGGTGTTGGTGTCCCTGGAACTGGACTTAGAGACACTTGTGAGCTGCCATGTGCATGCTGGGCACAGAACCTGGGTCATCTGGAAGAACAGCCATTGCTCTTAACCTCTGCCATCTCTATAGCAGTTGTTTTTTTAATCTTGTGTTTGTATCTTTATAATGCATACTAAATGTGTGAATGCCCAAAAAGGAAAGAGACATTGGATCTGCTGAAGTAACAGGAAGTTGTGAGCCATCTAATAACGTGGGTGCTAGGAATCTGACTTGGGCCCTCCTCTAGCCCCACTTCAACTTAATGAGATGAAGCCTATGCCCTCATGAGAACCTTTAGACTATATTTTCCAGGATGAATGAAAATGCAATCAAAAACATTGTGTCTGGGGCTGGAGAGATGGCTCAGAGGTTAAGAGCATTGCCTGCTCTTCCAAAGGTCCTGAGTTCAATTCCCAGCAACCACATGGTGGCTCACAACCATCTGTAATGGGGTCTGGTGCCCTCTTCTGGCCTGCAGGCATACACACAGACAGAATATTGTATACATAATAAATAAATATTTAAAAAAAATTGTGTCTCTCTTAGTCAACTTGAGCAACTGCCTTAACCAAACCTGTGATCAAAATGACAGGCTTCTCCCTTTCCAATTGCCAAAGTACTTTCTTTTTCTTTTTCCATAAGGCCGCAGAAACAGATGATGAGACCAAAAGTAGCCCAGTAGAGATACCAGATACCCTGACCATCCTCAACGTAACAGGTACAGTTATACTTTCATGTCGCATCTGTGCGAGTCCAGATCAGGGAGGTTACTTGCAGCTTGATTTGGGACTGGTAGAGTACTTGACTGACATGCGCAAAGTCCTGGGTTAAATCCCCAGGACTGCATCAGACCAATTCTAGTATTGGTAAGTGGAGGGAGGAGCAGGGTCAACTCCAGTCTGCACTGCATGCAACCATGTCTAAAAACACATGGCTCTTAGGACATTGAACACCAACCACCTGTTTTTCTGCTGAGCTTCACTGGCCATGCCTGCTGGAAACAATCTCACGTTTCTCATTTCTCCTCACTAGAAGGCGAAGGCTCTATGTCGTCTGATATCCTTGATGACATAATCTGGTATTAAGTCTGGGCCGCAGCTGTTGGACCAGCCATCTGCTTTTTACTGTAAGTGGTACTGTAGCAGCAGGAAAGAAATGAGGGGGACACAAGGGCCTTCAATCCCTCCTCCCTATGTTCTCTGTATTTCTCTGGAACATCTTTGATGCAGCTTAACTTGCTTTCAAAGCCCTTTTTTTTTTTCTCTGTCTTTGGCAGGATTTGGTGCCAGGAGAGGAATCTATGACAGATCCATGAAGTCCTTTATTTCAAATGGTGTGGCTTGCTCTGGATCAAATACGTTTTCTGTTCCATTGGACCTACCACAAAGTGATAGATGGAGACAAATAGATTTCTCCTTCACTCCTGGCTCCTCTCCATCTTTCCGTGTGTGAATGCTGCTGTGAATTCCCAGCCTCATTTCTGACTCACCTTCCCAGGTGACTATAGTAGTAGGAAGTGTTTGGACTCAAGACCGGAGTCGTCAGGAAACAAATGGAAATTGGCATATGTTTAAAAGCCTCGCAGAGAGTACTATTCTCACTCTCAGTGCTGAGGTGACTGGAGATAGTTCTTTTGAAATAGTCCTTCAGCTATTTCTTTTTGAACTTTAAAATACAGGTAGAAGAAATGGAGAGGTAGCAGGAAATGCTGTAAATTTCTAGCATGTTTCTGTGTACAGCCACCTAGAGAAAGGTGTAGTTCTGCTTAAATAATTTGGGATTGTTTGCCAAATAAAGTTCTTTATAAAATTGTCTAAAACCATATACTCGTCACAACTTGTATGCCTCTGAGTAAAGTCTCTTCTGAGTAAATCTTGATAGTAATTGCCTGCTGCCTCATACAGAGGCCCATCTTGAAAGATGTATCCTTCCCATACAAACATTCATAATCCTTGCTGTTACTTCACAAGTCACACAAAGCCCACCTGCCCTGGATCAGGACTCTAGAAACCGGGGATCTAGGAATAGGTCTTCATTGTAAACTTGCTGAGCCCTGTCTCCTAGTGTCTCTTGTTGCTTCAAATTTTTTGGACCCAAGTAGCAGAAAGACATTAAGGATGGAGAAGTTTGAGCACGTTTTAGAGTCCTAGAGGAACCTAAACAGGTTCCGACTGGTAGAGCACTGATCTGACAGTGGGATTCCTATACAACAGGCTCTGACCCATTCACTTCTGTTTTCTGCAGTGCTGCTTTCCCTGAAGGTCGGAGGTCATGACTTGCAGTTCATATTAAAGCTCATCAAAACCAACTGGCTTTTCTTGCAGAAAACCCAGGTCCAGCTCCCAGCACCCACAAGGTGCCTCACAACCATCCTGTAATTCCAGTCCCAGGCGATCTAGTGATCTCTTCTAAACCCTGTGGGCACCAGGCATGCATACTGTATATATGTATACATGTAGACAAAACATTCAGGCACATAAAGAAAAATAAAACAACTGTGGCACACAGACACCTCAGCACTTGGAGAACTGAAAGGATCAACGTGAGGTACCACACTATATAGGCCAACCTAGGCTACATGAGACATTGTCTCAAAAAAAAAGTATATCCCCTTTCTTGTGCTCATTATGTCTTGAGTGTCCCCTGCCATTTTTGCAGTATATCACAGTACTTGCTGTCTAGAATGTTCTCTTATTATCTGTTGTAATAACTATTCCTTAGGATGTACATACTTTTCTCTGGTTTTCTCTACATCCAAAGAGGGAATTAGCACGTCTCCAGTTTGAACTGAAATATATGAAGCATCCTAGCAAGGCTTAGTCTTTCTGAACATTCTAGTTGACTGGTCATTGATCTTGGCAGGTGCTCGGTAAATGGGAACGGAAAAATGGTTGAGGGATAAGGAGAAAGCAAAAGGAGCCCTCCCCTGTCTGACTCAGGTCACTGATCTTTTTAGTCATTAAATATGTCCTACAATGAATATTTCTATCAGGTTCATATTCCATTACAGCATCCCCCCTCTCAAGAAACAGCGAACACTTTGATTGCACTACCCTTTATTTCCTAGGATGGAAGTGTCTCAAATCACATCCTGGGCCCCAGAGTCCCGTGTGTTGAGGTTTCCGGCCTCTCACAGAGATGGTATAAACATGTTTAGGGAGGCTCACTAGCCAGGCTGGCCAAGGTCCCTTTCAAGGGGATACACCATAAAGATGACATTATCCCAGGGAGGGAGGGCAGGATGATCTGGTCTGACCACCTCAAAGCCCATGTAGCTAAAGGCTCGCAGGAGGGCACCTGTAGAAGAGAAGAGAACAAGATATTAGAACATCCACTGAGGCTCAGCCCATGGAAAGTAGTGTAGTGCAGGCTTGGGTGTACTTGGGCATGATACAGATGCAGGCCTACCCTGCCTTAGTATTCACTTTAACATTTGAGTTGACCTTTCAGATCTCCAGTTTACCCATTTGTAAACTGGGAATGAGAACCTTCAAAGATTTAAAATGTGATTATCAAGCACTTAGTGCAATGATGGCATTCTAAGCTCTAAAATGGTGACTATTGTTGCTTGCAATCAGCGGCAAACAGCTTTTTTTGTTTTGTTTTTGGCTTTGTTTTAAGATCTCACCATTTAACCAATCTGACCTTGAATGTGGAATTCTCCTGCCCTAGATTTCCAAATACTAGGATCACAGGCTTGTTCCATCTTGTCTTATACCCAACAGAGTATAAATTCTCTGAAAGATGCGCAGTGATATATTACATCTGCTTAAATATGTTCCTGTCCTACTGTGAAGGCTCGATACATTTTCTTGACCTCCTTTGTCAGTTTACCGCATTCCTTAAATGGATTCTGTGTAATTTCTCCAGTGCTCCCAGGCTCGTGCCTGATACCACCTGCAGGGACTTCTTATTAGTCCAGTTGTGATGGGACAGAATAGAATGTTGTGTGCCTTAATTTCCTTTGCAATAGAAGTGGGGACAGGGGGTGCTGAAATGCCAGACTCATCCAAAGACGCCTAAACACACCTCTGTCCTTCCGATCATTGTGGAAGTTCACAAACACAGAGTCCACATTGGTCTTCTCCTCCACATACTCCAATGTTGCTGTCAAGCTAGAGGCCAGAAAGAAAGTTAATACTTGGCTAACTTTATCTAGGAAGTCAGCAGGAGAAATACCGGTGAGGATTTCTCTACCTACTGAAACTAGAAAAGGAAAAGTTGCTGAAGGAGCTTGGCTTTTCTCTGAAGCCAAGGGATTCCAATACAGAAGGGGGTCATGAAGGAAAGGACTGCTGAGTAGCAAAATTATTCAACTATTTGAATCCTACTTTAATGTTCCTGAGTCTGAGTCCAGCAACCATCCCTCAACCTAAAATTATTCCTTAAACCCCAAGATCTTATCTGTGTGCTGTGTGTCTGATCCAGCTCCTAAGTCACTGTGACATGATGAACGGTGGAACAGAGTACCCCATCCCTTCCCCACACCCATCCAGTTCCTCACCTTTCTCGGTTGCCTTGATCCAAAGCCTGATGTGGGATATCCAGGAAGAGTCGGTGGTCACACAGAAGGCCGTGCCAGTGAGCAGAAGAATGGGGGGTGAGGCGGAAGTGGAAGTCTAACTGAACTGGGTCTTGGTGAAGCAGGGGCTCAGTTGATAGCACTGTCAGGTTCCCAGCCTGGAAAAGAAATGAGACTGAAGTAGCAATCTGCTCATTGAGTCTTCAAGTCACATCTAGGGTGTTATCTTGCTCATGCTATATCTCCAGCCCCACTTTTATTTACTTACTTTTTTTGTAAGGTTGGGGAATAAGATCTTGCTGAGTCACTGAAGCTAGCCTCGTACTCACTCTGTGTCCTCTGCAGCCCTTTCAAGAAGCTGGGATTTTAGCTTTCACTGCCAGGCCTCTCTCTAAACTACTTCATGTCCCAAGACTCACTATAATCTGCTATACATTTGTTCCTGCTTCTTTTCCCATCCTGCTCTTGGCTCCCAGCTATAGGAATCCATCTAGAAAGAAGTAGATTTTACAGTGTGCTCAGGGGTCTACCTACGTCTAGTTTTCATGACTATCAGTGTTCCCTCCTCAACAAAGCCATTACAGCAATCACATCACCGGTGCAATGTACTTACTGAATACAGTTCTTTAAGCTGGCTGTGGTCTTTTTCCTGCTCAGCGCTTCTGCCCACCTGGAGGCCTCCTAAGGACTCAGGAGCACTGGAGGCAGCAATGGGGCCGAAGCGTCAGGTCCTCCTGTTCTTTGTAAGTGATGCTTGTTTGGGAAAGAGAGACCCAAATTAGTTTACCTCAGAGCCTGGGGTGAAGACATAAACTGAGAAGGTAACTTCCTGACTTCAGCTATACAGGACCAGCCTTCCACACTGTCTCGTGGATCACCTATGGAACATCTTATTTTTCCAGGCCAACCAAATAGAAAAATTGTACAAGTCCATTTGAGGCTTCTACCCTGCCTTTTATAAGAATCTCTCGACTTGTTTTCTTTTCCTTACACTGTATGTAAACCACAGTGACAGATGGAAACAAGTACCTTCTGTAACAACAAGGCAGCATCTTCTCCCGGAGGGTGATTCGGTATTTGTAGCAGTAGAGGTAATAGGCGTATGGTGACCAGAAGGGATAGAGGTAGTTCCGTGCTTTTCCCCTCTTGATATAAGAAAGGGAGTAGAGAGAGGGGCGGGACCTGTTACAAGGCAGTTTCACTGTTCAGTGCCTCCCTGCGGCAAAGTGAGGGTCAGAGGGCGAGGGGCAGGACTTCAGGCAGCCCTGTCATTGTGACCTGGCAGGCACTATGACATAGACAAGAGGCCGGTGCTTATGTCACCTCAGTTTCAGCCCGCCCTGTCCCATCAGCCAGGGCTCGTGTTCAGATGCTGGACACTTGACAGCTGTATAGGTAGTTAAAGAGCCTTTCAAACTTATGTCCTAATTGACACATAACCCTGCCTGAGCCCTGGTTCCCACCACCCTGACCCCCCCATGGACCATTTCTAAATTCAGCAACTACAGAGTTGGTGTCTGATGCCACAGTAAGCTTCCAAGACCCTGCTCCCACACTCGCCTCATTAGTAGTTGTTTTGAAATTCTTTTTCTTATTATCACTCTCTGTAGCACAGAAATACTACAAATTGCAGAACTTTCTCTGTTATCTTTATAGGTTAGAAATCCCAAATTAAATACCTCTACGGAACTGTAATGCTACATATCCTTTTGTTGTTGGTGGTGTTGGTGGTGGTGGTGGTTTTTTGAGAAGAGTTTCCCTGTGTAACAGCCCTGGCTGTCCTGGAACTGACTTTGTAGACCAGGCTGACCTCGAACTCAGAGATCTGCCTCTCCCTCCCTAGTTCTGGGATTAAAGGCATGTGCCACCACCCAGCAAATGCTTATCCTTAATCCTGGCAATCAAGAGGCAGAGATGGTAGGATTGCTCAACATCTGGGATCAGCCTGGCTTGCAGTAGCAACGTTCTGACTGGACAGAGCTACATAGCAACACCCTGTTTCAAACACACACACACAGAGACACAGCCGATGGAAACTGGTGAAGTTACAGAGCAGATATTAAAATGGTAGAAAGCTCACACCAACATAACAGCACTAAGTTACTGTGCCAGAACACAGATTAGGTGCTAATTCAAAACGTCAAGAGGATCAAGCCAGGTGTGCTGGCACACCTTTAGTGTCAGCATTTGGGAAGCAGAAGTGGGC